CAGAGAAATACAGAGCGGCCACCAGAAACGACAACATCGACGCCACCCATCAACATCGACGAAGCCGAACTGCCTAGAGAGACCAGGTGCACCCTAGCACAACTCCGTTCTGGGTGGTGCCACAGATTAAACAGCTATCTCTCCCGGCTGAACCCAGAAGTGGCAGACACATGCCCTGCATGCGGGCAAGGTCCACACAACACCCAACACCTCTTCGCATGCGCCTCTAACCCCACGACCCTGACACCAGAAGCACTATGGACCGCGCCTATAGATGCCGCCCGCTTTCTCGGCCTCAGGCTTGTCGAGTCAGAGGACGAAGACGATCCTTGACGAAACCCCGGCGGGTTGAGTACTGCTGCTACAACAACAACAACAACAACCGACAAAATACACATAAAGAAAGAAGCAAAACAGAAATAGCAAACTTCAAAATTACAAACGTCACACACTTTTTTCTCAATTGCTATTACAAATGGATGCTTCTCAACCGGTCAGATCTGTTCTAATTGGTTCATGCTACTTAACCGTCTAGCGCCCTGAGAAGGTAAAAGCCGGTTATTGTCACCCTGGCACCCTGGTTAGACAGACATAGAGCCATTTCAACAATATTAAAATGGACTCTCTGCCCATGTACACATTTGCATTCGCAAAACATTCGTATCATTTGATGCGAATGGGAAGGTCGAATGCAAAAATGTGTAAAATGATGGGAATCATTCGCATAACTAATGCGAATGCAAATATTCGCAACATTCCTGCTTGTAATACGGCACTATATCCAAACACGAACGCGTGTTAAGCAAACAGTGAAACAATTTGTTATTTTCTAAGTTAAATGAACAAGTTCTATCGTTCTTGTTGAATCATGATAGCGCAACGCTCGTAGTTCATGTTCTTTTTCATTTTTATGTACGTATATATAAATGGATGTGGTCGAAGAACAAAAAAAAAAAATCCCACAATTCAAAACTATGGCTGACTTCCAAAACGTATCTATTAGGGCTGTGCGATTAATTGATTACTCAAAATTTTAATTAATCATAACGTAAATAACTCAATTATTCGATTAATTGGAAATTATGATTACTCAAAAGTTCAGTTACTCGAGTAATCAATATTTTTGATTAACCAAAAACAAAAATATTTGAGTAATTTGCTTTATGATTAATCAACATTTCGAGTAAAATGAGTAATCAACATTTCAACTCTTTACATATGTATAAAGTAGTTAAAGTTCCTTGATACTTTGAAAACAACGTTTCTGTTTTCAAAAATTAAAACAAAAATTTTTTTTCATATACAGAATGTAAAAAAGAAAATAAGCATTTTCCAAAGCAAACTCTTTTATCGAGCAAAATTATTGTTTTTGAGTAATCATATTTCAAGTAACTCGATTAATCATCGTTTTGAGTAATCAAAATCTTGATTACTCGAGTAATTGATTAACCGAATAATTGATTAACCAACTTGCTCGAGTAATCGAATAATCGCACAGCCCTAGTATCTATACAATGTTTGGAAACTGTTATACTGCGGTATTCAAACTGTTTATATATGCAGAGTTGCGACACATTGCAACCATATACATTGCATATTTTAAATATTCAATTTAGCAATGAACAATTTTTCTGAATTTTCCATTTTTGAAACACCAATGGTAACCAATAACAAACGAAGCATCAACTTTATTTCTGCGCTGATTGCTATATCGATGCATTTCGATAACTTTCCGGATGCGTTTTGGAAAAGTATACATTGTCAATATTTTGTAGTTTGGCGTTATGGAACATTATACTTTATATACTATAAATACGGTGACCATCCGTCCTTTATTTTAAAGGGCAGTCCTTTATTTTAACCCCCTGTCCTTTATAATTTTTTTCAAAATAAACGACGCCTTTTGTCCTTTAGTTCTTAAACTGTCCTTTAAATCGGCTCTGCATTTTTCAAAGGTAAAGTTTTAAACGCAGAATATGAAAAATAAAAATGTCCCTTATAAAATATATTGAAAACTTTCGCCAGTTTGTTTCGCAAGGTTTATATTTCGCAGGGTTTCTATTTAATCGGTAATCTTTGTACAATCTATAAATCACAGGAAAGTTGTGCCCAGGATTGTGTTACACGCCAGTTCCACTGAAAGAGAACAATAGACATCCTGCTGCACAGTGGTTCAAAACTGGCATTCATTCACTTCATTTTTCGCTTAATTTGATTAATTGTTATTTTTTATGAAAGCTTACAATATTTGCAAGAGGCCAGTTGAGCCTGATTTCTAAATTTTAATTTGATTATATTAAATTTTTTAGTGCAAAATGCACAAAAAGTAGCAGCTTTGAAGAAAATGTATTCTTCTGTTCCAGTTAATAAATGTTACATAACAAAAGCTAGTTGAAAATAATTGTATGGTTCTCCCAAAACAAAAAAATTTTGAAATGTTATAAAAAAATGTTCACCAAAATAAAATTTTTTTTTTTGGTTTTTAGTAAAAATTGGTGGAAATATGAAGGCTCCAGTGGATTATGAACATTGAATTCGAATTTTGAACCACTGTGTGCTGGCTTCGTCGTGCAGTATGAATTATGGTAAACGCATTTTGGTAGCAAAGGATGGCGAAGTCCTTGAAAAGGATTTGGCTTCATTTTTCGCTACAGCAGGGGAACTTATACAATTAAATAATATAATTAAATAGTAAATATTTGACTTAAATTACGATATGGGCAAGGTACTTTTATCATACAAGTTGTATGTACGTATTTTCAAATCATTTTGAAAAAAATGTCCTTTATTTTACGTTGGTTAATATGGTCAACGTAACTATATAGCAATCGACGTTTTGGAAGTCAGCCTATCTCACAGCCCGCAATTGAATTTTTAATAGATAGATTAAAAAATAGAAAATGCCAACTTGAAAAGGGTTAAAAGTTATTCATCATTTGAAATTATAGTCGTTGCTCAAAAGAGAGAAAAGTCAAAATCACTTCTACCTTATTTGTGCTTAAGAGCTTATAACTTCCAATTAATTGCAGCTTTTTTGACAGATTACCCATTGAAAATTATGTAAAAAGCTGCAATTAACTTTAGTGTGGTCTTTATTTGGGAAAATCTTCCAATAATGGCCAAGCTTTGAAAAGGAGATGAGGGGGGAAGAGAGAGGGCCAGCCTTATTTTTGAAATCTGAAGGTCCCCGCCCTCTCCGGAGGCTTATAGTTTGCAAGTAATTAGTAAAATTGCAAAAGAAGTAAAATTCAATCTCACTTTTTCCTTTGTAGAGCAATTGAACTCTGCTGCCGCACATCCCAAACAAAAAAATGTTCAACAAACTGAAAACGGGAAAAATGTAAGCGCATTATGTTTTTATTGCATATCTTCATTATATACCGAAGTATTGCTTTAAAAAAAAGCGGCGCATGCGAAAATTTCCAGTATATCGTAGTAATGATTTTTTTTTAAGTACCTACATTTTTATTAAAAACTTTCAATACATATTGAAATACTGGATTTAAATATAAGCGCCACAGGCGAAAATATGTAATAAAAAATCACGCGATCTCGCCTTATCCCGGAATTTAGTTGAAGAACGCCCTATCTCAGCTTATTTTCAATGTATTTTCGTTTGAGTAGGGCGTTTTTGAACCGAATTCTGAGATAGGGCGTTATTCAACCAAATTCTGAGATGTAGACTCTCGCCCTGTGAATGCCGTTCTAGGCACATAACCACCGGACGTGGACAGAACAGAACTTTGTCTGCCTCGGGAGACTAGCACTACAATAGCCCAACTTCGCTCTGGCTATTGCAGCAGGCTCAACTCTTACTTGAGTAGAATCAACGAGGATGTGCCCAACCAATGCCCGACATGTGGAGAGTCGCCACATGACTCCCGGCACCTCTTCACATGCCCTAAGAACCCCCCCACTAAGCTAACGCAACTGTCCCTATGGACAGCCCCTGTGGAAGTCGCACACTTCCTGGGCCTCCCCCTAGCTGAAACTGACGACAACGCTGATGGATGAACCGCCCCGAACGGGGCTTAGTAGCTGCTACAACAACAACAACATAGAGTGTTTTTCAATAAAATTCTGAAATAGGGCGTTTTTCAATCGAATTCTGAAGTAGGGCGTTCTTGAAGTTTTCTGAGATAGGGCGTTTTTGAACTGGCTGCCGAGATAGGTCGATCTTCCACTCAGCCATCGATATACTTTATATTTTGTAATGCCTCACAAAGTATTTTTTGGTATAGTTTCCAAAGATCTGGAATTACATACTTCGCAGTTCTCGCTCAACAATTGTGTGTTTACAGATTCTTTGCGAATAGAAACTTATTTAAAGAACTCTTTTATAAGTATTAATTGTTAAATATTTAGTAAAAAAAGATGTGCATTCATTCGTTTATGAAGAAAAGATGATATATTAATGAAAAGCAAAGTGAATAGTGCAGTGTTTATAAAAAATATGTGAAGTAATGCGGAACGGCCGCTGTGGTGTAGTGGTAAGCAGTGCGCGCTTTCACTCATCAGCACCTGGGTTCAAGCCCTGGTCAAAGCAACATCGCTAAAAAATATAGAAAAAAGGTTTTTTCTTAACAGCGGTCGCCCCTCGGCAGGCAATGGCAAACCTCCGAGTGTATTTCTGCCATGAAAAACAGCTTCTCATAAAAATACAATCGCCGTTCGGAGTCAGCGTAAAACTGTAGGTCCCTCCGATTTGTGTGATAACATCAAGGCGCATGCCACAAGTCGGAGGAGAAGCTCGGCCAAACACTAACATATGTGTAAGCGCCAATCTATAATGGGGAAATTTTAACAATAAATAACTTTAAAACTGTTGCCATTTCTACACAAAATGTTGAAGGTATCGCTCAATGAGCACTTCCTCAACACGCCCTGCGAATTTCATTAAAAAATTCGCTATACTTCGCCCGATATAGGAAATGGTCTGTTATTGGAAAACTCAGCAGTTGAATCATATAAATTCCTTATTAATAGAATAGTTAACTCACCATGAATTTTGGTCATTTTATTTTGGTCCGCCTGGTCCACAAATTTTTCGCTAATGAGCTTCTTGGTTTGTGGCACGAATGTATCGAAGTCTTCGCAACGCTGTCGCTTGAGCATGTTTATAACGGGAGTTTAAAGCGCAGCTTCACCAAAAACTTGTTTAATCGCCGGCAAAAGTTTTGTTAAAATATATTTTTTTTTGGGTTTTGGGTTGGTTGCCAGGAACTTAAATTCCCCAAACGCCAGGCTGTCCCTCCTTGTCCGTATTTATTCCTCTTGGTGCTACAGGATCATGTAGCTAGTGTATTTTTAATATCGACAAGTTGAGTGTAACTAAAAATGTCAAAATAGCCTTGGTCAAAATATTGGAATTATTTTACGTGAACGCCAAAGAACAATAAATAACTAAAGCTGAAATTAGTCAAGAACGTAAACCTACCGGTACGTAAACCCGAGACAGCTGACACGATCTGTCTTACCAAAGCACCATGTAAATGAAAACTCAACACCGCAGAATTTTTCTGTAGTTGTAGCCCAGATACAAGAAGAAGAAGGTAGTTTCACTTCAAAATTTTTGACATAAACCGTGTCTGTGATAAACACGCAATGTGGCCACTGCTACGATATAGAACTTGGAAAGATTTATATGTTTCATAACTGATCACTTAATTTTTAATATAAATACACGTATTTTGTTCATAAATTTTTGCCACAGCTAATCACATGAATAAAAATCATAAAAATGAAAATATAACAGCAATATTTCTTGTTTATAATGGATTACATCCATCGCACACCACGGACTTTATCGGCCGCCAATTTAGATGTGCTCGCTAGTCTTTCCATTGCACCACAACTTATTGGTCAGAGCGATTAAGCTGGTGTAATGTGCGCACCTCCATACATCTTCATGTACATATTTCAAGCGAGCCCTATCATTTAAAAAGGCGGCCGATAAAGTCTGTGGTGAGCGGTGGCTCTTATAGCTGTGTCCTTACATCTATTCCGTGTGTTGCAATATCCACGAAAGCCAAGAATGATAGAATACAAGATTGCGCCGATCAGAGAGGATTTTTGAGAATAACTTTTGTGTGACGTCACAAAACGTGAGCAAGAATGGAAGAAGAAGAAAAAAATGTTGCAAGGAAAATGTAAACAAGATGCACCAGTGTGACGTCATGCAAACGACGATTCTGTCAAATTCGTTAAGAGAGGAATAGCGGTCCGAGATCGGCGCAACCTTTGTATTCTCTCAATCGTGCACGAAAGCAGCAGTTAATTTTTTATGAAGAAAATTATTACAAAATATTCGAAAATTTCTCTACTTATATGTTTGGCTTTTCTTTGTTTTATTTTTCCAACGTCAAAAGCTGGATTTTTTTTTTGAAAAAGTTGGTACAACAAAAAATACGAAACACGTTTTCTGTCAGATAGCTAACATGGCGGATAAGAAGAAGAAGTGAAACTACCTTCTAAAAATTATTGTATCATGGTTGTAGCCCATGATTCAATATACAGGGTATATATATACAATATACAATATACAGGGCATATACATACGTATATGATATGTGTATGTATACGCGGATATGTAAATAAAGCAAAACAGACGATAATTTGATACAAGCGTGTTCATAAGAAGAAGCGTAGCTTCTATCGCTATCACCTGTAATTGATGCGCCTTGGGCAAATCCCACCAAAAACGATCAGCTGTTCAGCACAAAATGTAAACAAAGAAGGGAATGCAACAACAATAGGTGCAATCCCGTATTTCTCGGACTCGGACTAGTAAAACTGTCAAAAAATAAAAATTCGCTCAGAGCGAGAGAGTAACATTGAAAAGTACGGGATCGCTTTCTAGTAAAAATGGTAACTTCTGTCAACTTCAACATAACCTCCAAATTTTGGTTGTAAATTTTCCCTTATTTTGTATGTAAACACACTCATCTCACACATGTAAATAACCAAAAATACTTTCAAATTCATTACAATCGACTTAAACAAGTAATTAAATACTTTTCAACATGAATTAGCAGATTGAACTTTTCTTTGTTTACAATTTGGTTGCCAAACACAATACAGCTGATCGTTTGACACATTTACCAGAATTTACCAGCAAAAAATTCTCGGACTAAAACTGGTAACTTCTGACAGAGAGAGAACCGTATTTACTCTCTTTTCTGTCCTCTCAATAGTCAAAGAACCGAGTACGGGATCGATTTCCTGTAAAATCTGACTGATTCTGACTATTTCTGACTAGTGCGGACTCGTACGGGATCGCAACTAATTTCAAGGAACAAGCAGCAGTGCTGCCAGTTGTTTGGCATATTTAAACAAAGATGATATGAAACCCAACGAAAGCTAAATGGCATTTAAACAACAAGCCACAAATACACTTAAGTGCCATTTCAATATAATGCAATAACACAAGGTGGTATCAGTTGTGACAGCCCGATTTGACACTGTGGACGGGAAGAAAATAATCCCCATTAGGGGGAAAATATAAAATTTTATATTTTCTTCTAATCAAAATTTGCTTTCTTATAGTATATTCGTAATCAAATTAAATAAAATAAGATAAAATACGTTCTCAAGAAAACAGAATGTGTATACTGAGACAACCAACCAACGGCCAACCGATAACACCTTGTATTATTGCATCATGCCATTTCAATATTCATTCGAAATTGGCGCTAACTCTTCTTTAGTTAAAGAAAAAGGTGAAATAGTGGTGATGTAAACAAATGCTCGGCTGACGAACCCACTTTAACAAACTTTTTTCTCAAAATCAGTTACAAAAACAACGTCACGGTTTTGCGTGATCTTGTATTTTTGGTTCATGACGGGTATATCGATTGTGACCCAGTTTTAGTACCAAGTTTTGAATTTTTGCATAAACGGTTACAAATTGTTATTGCGTCACTATATTTAACAACAAATAAATATTCGAAAAGCACAAAAGGGAATACCAAGAAATGTCGAAATACAAGAAAGAAAATAAATAGCTCGCAGCGACGCAACGTCAACTTGCTGCTGCTGTCGTTGCTGCCTTTTGCTCCATCAGTCTTCAAGCGATGCAATTGCAAGGTATCTAGTGGAGAAGTCGGTTGGATTTGTGGTTCGGAACGTTTTAATTCTCATTATTTTCGTCTTGGCATTGGGTTTTTTCGCGCTTCTCATACATATTTTGTTGCCAAACAGATTATGCGGGCGATGTGAAACGGGGATATTGTGCTATAGCAGTGAAATTGTGGTAATTGCAAAACAATGGAATGTACTACGTAAACCCAAGAAAGCAGTTACGGAGGTGGTGGCGGCAATGAACCTATAGAAATAGCAAATACGATTCGAAGTGAAAATTTAAGAAAATGAAAGAAAAGTGAATTGAAAATGCGTACGTATGCTAAAACCATATATTTAATACTTACATATACGTATGGCTAAAACCAAACAATGAAGTTGGAGATTACCATTTTAAATCAGTATTTATATAACCTTGTGGAATCGAAATAAAATATATTCAAGTCGAATTGAACGAGTTCTCTTCAGTACAAAATGCATGGAATGCGGGTAGCAGAAGTCAGTCGAACTTTGTTATTTATCCTAATGGTGAGTGCATCGTTGCATTGTAGAATACAGGCCACTGCTGTAAACAATGAAGAGAAAGTTGGAGGGGATGGAGCTTCTTCCACGGACATGTTAGAAGCCAGTGCATCACCAGTTGCTACAGATATGACTACAAATATGCCAACGGTATTATCACGAATACCACCGCCGCAAGTGACAGTGAACAAATGTTGTAGATACAATGAGCACATGAATTTTAATCAAACGTGTGTTATGGGAAATTCGGAATTATGGGTACCAATGATATTTCTAATAAGTAGAAGACGGTATTTTACACCTCAAGGTGGTAAGCCCAAATTTATGATATTCCAAGAGAATGTCCTTCCAGTAGTAGATGATTACAGTATTGAATCAGAGCAAAACGGCAAATGTACGTCAGAAGAATTAGAGTTTTTCTCAGCAGGTGGAAACTATTTATTATTTTCAAATGGTTCCTTATTTTTGGGTGAACGCAAGCAATTTATCGAGCCACAACGCTATTGTGTTGACCGAAATGGCGTGCTCGTCTGCTTTCCACGAGAAAGAAATGGAACACAAAGAATAAAGGTAAAAAAGTGTTGTGGATGGAATGGAATTTATGACTCTGCAAAAAAGCAATGCACGTTTCCGGGCGGCAGTGGTAATCCTAATATAAACCCTCCTGCGGAATTGCCATTAAATTCAAGTTTATACGAGACAATATACGGCTTTCCTACATGTCACCAAAAAACTGTACCATACGCTATTGCCGGAGATTGGCATGAAAGTCAAATGGATGTGGAGAATGGAAATCTTAAGCTGACTCATAAACAAATATCTACTAGCGATTATTGCCTTGAGCATTTGCTCGAAAACGATGCAATTGCTGCAATTAAAATATTTACTTGTCTTCATCACTTCTCCACTGAAGCTCCTGCCAATGCTATTGCTGCGGTAGGTAGCACCACTAGTGATAGAGTACAAGTGGCCGCCCTCAATATAGGAATTGTCATATCAGTCGTCTTCCTTTCAGCCACATTGGTGGCTGGATACATGATGCCCTCCGTTCATCATATGTTACATTGGCGTTGTCAGATTTATTACGTCTTTTGTTTGTTTGTTGGAGATTTGATACTCGCCTACACACAACTGTCACGGACACTCCAACACGGCTCATTCACCTGTTTACTTTTAGCCAGTACAATGCACTTTTTCTTTCTTTCGGCTTTCTTTTGGCTTAACACAATGTGCTTCAATATCTGGTGGACATTTCGCGATTTCAGGCCGAGTTCACTCGAACGCAATCAAGAGTTGCTACGCTTGCGGCTTTATTCGGCGTATGCTTGGGGCATTCCGGTGTTGATAAGCGCTATTGCTTTCACTGTAGATCATTTGCCCGAAACACAATTACTGCGCCCCGGCTTCGGCGAACGTAGTTGTTGGTTTAGCGGAGAACATTTATCCATATTTGCCTATTTCTTTGGACCTATTGGACTTTTACTGTGTGCCAACATCATGCTTTTCATATCAACAACACATCAATTGACATGCGGTTTGTGGAAGCGTGACGATGTCAAATCGACCACTGAGAAGACTGCACTGGGGAAAGTATGTTTGAAGCTAGTCGTGGTAATGGGTGTCACCTGGATAGCTGATGTGATTTCTTGGCTAGTCGGTGGACCGCATTCGGCTTGGTTCTTCACCGATATGATAAACGCTTTGCAGGGTGTATTCATTTTCATTGTAGTGGGATGTCAACCACAAGTATGGGCCGCTTGCAAGCGTTTTTGCTGTCCACGCTCACGTCAAGAG